TTTTTTTTGGCTCGGATAGGCACATTTAAAGTCTCTCCAATCCCATCTCTTCGTTCCAGTCCCATTGGCATCTTCCGGGGCAGTGCCGTCCTCCTTTCTAGTATGGAAAATACCAAGGCAACAGCCTTGCCCGACCCCTAGACAGGAACAAAAAAGTGTCCTGGAGCACCGGGGCATCGCTCAGCATGAGGTGCCAGGGGTCGGGTGCTGCCAAAAAGCACAGCTACCTGCTGACAGCCCCCCCCAGAGCAGATAGGTACCCTTTGGCTCCAGCTAACCTCAACCAAACCCAGGTACCCCTAGGGCCAGAGGCCTTCTCCATCCTCCCCCACACCAGGACACCCCCCCAGCCTCACCTGTACATCCTCCCTCGCAGCCTCGCCTGCTGCCCCCCGTAGAAGCCCCCTCGTTGTCCCAGCCCTCCCCGGGCTTGGAAGCGGCCCCGGTAGCCCCCGCGGTCGGTGCTGCTGATGCCTGGCATGTTGGTCCTCTTGGGCAGCACCTGGAAGGCAGCGGGGGCTCAGCACAAGCCCCCAAACAGCAGGGCAGGGACAGACGGACACATCCCAGGGGCTCATCCTCCTCCTACCTTAATGACTCTGCCTCTGAACAAGCTCTCGTCCAGCTCCACAGCAGCTTTCACAGGAGCTCTTCTCTTCGAACTCGATGTAGGCGTACCTGCAAGGGGAAGGGGTGAGCAGAGCCCCAGGGACATCGTGCTGCCAGGCACGGGCTCTACTTGGGGACAGCAGCATCCTTCCCAAGGGCACACCAAGAATCAAATAAATCTCTGCTTTCTCTGCACACACAGCCCATCCTCTGTGTTTTTAGGAAGCAGGCACCTGCAGGATGCTGCTGTAGGGCTGAAGCCAAGCTCCCAGCCTGAATTCCCCTCCATCCCCAACCCATTCCCTGCACTGGACATTTCCAGTCGAGCTTCAGCCAAGTCCCAGAGCCACTGGTTTTGGAGGAGACGTCCTCCACCACGACCAGCAGCGATGCTGCAGGGCAGCCAGGCTGAGACCCACCACAACCTCAGCACCCCACACCCAGCACTCACCCTTTGGGGTGCCCCGAGAACTTGTCACAGAGGATGGTGACGCGGTTGATCTGCCCGCAGCTGTTGAAGTGAGACTCCAGCTCCTCCGCCGTGCCCCCGTAGTCCACCTGCAACCACAGCCTCATGAGCACAAGGGAGCTCCTTGCTCACCATCACGTCTTGGTTAGCCAGCAAGGTGCCACACGCTGTGCCACCACGGCCTCACCACCTCCTGAGGTTCAGGAGACCCTTCCACCTGAATCCCCCAGCCCAGAAACCCCAAATCCAAGGGAGAGCCCCGCTTTGAGGGAACAATGAACGCTGCACAACCCACAGCTTCCAGCGGGGTATTTGGGGTGGCTGATGCTTGCAGCATGTTACCTGCAAGTGGCTGAGGATTACGGGCAGATGCTGAGCTGTGAGGCTCAAGCATGTGTTCCCTGTGTGGGCTGAGCAGGAGCAAAGCAGCCAGTTTGGGACCAGCCTCTAGCAGGGAGATGGTACGGGTGCCCTGGGACAGGGAGCAGGGCAGTGGGTGCTGCCCCAGGGTGTCCCACTTACATTGCCCACGTAGATGGACCGCTGGTCGACCTCCATCTTCTCCTCTGTTGTCTTTGGGAAGAGACCTGCAGAAATGAGGTCACCATGGGTGGAACCACAGCAAAGGGACCAGCTCGTGGTGGCTCTCAGCACAGCTGGCACCAGAGCTGGTGCACGGCCACACTGCCAGCTCCACAGTCCCATCACATATTCCCAAACCCCACCACTTCAGCCTCCTCCACCCCTTTGCCCTATCTCTCCATAGGAAAAGAATGACACCAGGTGACTGCTTTATAGGGCTTTTGTGCTAAACTCCATTACTTAATTGACTTTAATTAATTCAGTGCATCTCAGCTGGCTGGCAAAGGTGGGAGGTACAAGTGGGTATGACCTGCATCAGCCCCATACCTGCCTGGGACCAGGGACAGCCCGTACCTGCCTCCGAGCTCATGATGAGGCGGCTCTCAGCTTCCAGCTGCAGCGCCTTCAGCCTCTCGTCCTCCTTCTCCATCTCCCGCACTCGAGCTTTGATGGCCTCCAGCTCCTGAAACCCAAAGCACGACTGGTGTGAGCAGCACACAGCATGGGGACACCCCCAGACCATGGTGATGCAGCCCTGCACTTGGACAGAGCTGTAGAAAATTTTCTGTTCCCTTATGGAAAGGGGGAAAAGCAATCCCACGTTTAGCCCAACGCTCACCGGGTCCTGCACGCCCAGCTCCTCCACGCTGTCCCCCTCCAGGTGGCTCAGGTCTGAGTCTTCATCCACAGCTTTGTGCGGAGCTGCCATCCCCGCCATGCCCCAGGACGCCTCCTCTGCTGCCAGGGATGGCGGGTCCTGCCACCAGATCCCAGAAGTGTCCAGGAAGAGAGGACTGGGCAGGAACAGAGGTAAAAATCAATTCAACAGGCAGCCACGTAACACAGAAGCAAACACAGAATGCCAACCCCACAGAGGCTTTAAGGCTACTTCCAGGAGGAGTAACCACCTCTAAAGCTCTCAGTGCTGCAGGCAGGCTCGCAGCAAAACCCCAGAGCTGCAGCAGGGAGAACTACTGAGACATCTCCAGATCCCAGAATCGTTGCCCAGCTCAGGGAACCACATAGACTGAGAGCAGCTTCCCACAGGCAAAAAAAAAAAGTGAGAAACACCCCAACCTCACCGAGGAAAAGGAACAGGAAGGAGGACCTGCCCTACAGGCAGCATCCCCAGGCTGCACAGAGCAAAGGGAAAACCCACAGCCCTCCAGACCCTGACTCGATTGTGCTTTAGGGATGGGCCCACCCCGGGACAAGCCCCCCAAAACCTGAGCAGTCCCACGGCAGCCCCATCCCGGCCCCCAGCCCCTTACCTGACCCTGCCCGCGAACATGCTGCTCGCCCTTACGCCGTGCCGCGCCGCCACGTGCGTTTTTCCCGCCGGCGCGCCACTTTCACACATCAGCAGCCAATCACGGGCCGCGCCGCGCCGCCGGGCCACGCCCTCCTCCGGTAGGGCGGGAAGGGAGGGGGCGGCCCCGCCCCGCTGGGACCCCGGGGCTGCGGGTTCGAGTCCCGCGGGCGGCTGCGGCCACGCGTGGCGCCCCCCCCCCAGGGTTTGGGGACACCCCCGGGTTTGGGGACACCCCCCGAGTTTGGGGACACCCCCCCCAGTGTGGGGACACCCCCAGCCCTTCCTGTCTGCTGACCCCACTGGGGACCAGGCACAGCTCCGCCTGCCTGCCCCATGTGCAGGGTGCAAAATTGGGGGGGGACCCCACTGGGACCCCCCTTCCCAGGGCTGGGTGGGGGCCACTGCATGACCCCGGGGTCCAACGTGCCCCCCTCCCCGGCTCAGGACAGGGGTAGCAGGGTGCTGCCGGCAGCAGGAGCCAGGGCACCCAGCGCAAGCCCATGCTAGGGAGACGTGGGGTTGATATTAAATCGTCCTTTATTACACAGATACAGAGGAAAGAACAGACAGAACCTGAATCATAAAGTTTACATCTTTCACAGGGCAAACATACAGTACACTTAGAGAAAGCGGGAAACAGCAAAGAGGGGTGGGAGGGGGGGACAGCATGCCGAAGGAAAGTCCTACCGCGTCATCTCTCCGTGCTGGCCCTGCAAACCCAGGCAGCAGAGCAGGGTGGGCGCCCCCAAACCCACCCGGCCCTCGGTGGGGGCTCTGCTCTCCAGCCCCCAGCCCCAGGGACCCCCTGCACCCCGGTGTCCCCGTCCCCGGGGCTGGCAGGGAGCTGTGGGCAGGGTTTGGGAACCGGTGCTGCCCGCGCAGCCGTGGGCAGGGGGGTCGGGGGCACGACGCCTCCCTGCCGGGGCTGTGCCTTTTGGTGGCATCGGGGGAGACCCCAGGGTGCTGCCGGGTGCTGCGGGGGGCCCTGCCACTGCAAACACCCTGCACAGCACCCGGGAGCTGCTCCGGGAGCAAGGCGACGCCGTGCCCCCAACCCCAAACCCACCCGGGCGCAGGGACCCCCGAGGAGCTGGGGATGCCCAGGAGGAGGTGGGCGAGGGGCGGCTGTGGCAGGCGGTGCCAGGGGTCGTTCCGGGGAGGTTTGGGGTTCCCAGAGCCTTGCCGGGAGGCAGCACTTTGGTTTCAGCTGGGGTTTCCATTTGGGAATGCCTGGGGACCCCAGGCAGGCTGTCCCCCCACCACGAACACCATTCCCCCGCCCCAGCCACGGCATTGGGAAGGAAACCCAAAACGGGTGCTGCAGGTGGCCACGGGGTCCTGATCCGGCACAGGGCTGTGCCACCCTGTCCCCCGTGTCCCCAAGCTGCCCCGCAGCACCCGGGGTGTTCCCAAGCCCTGTGGCTGTGCCAGGACCACGGGGCACATCCCTCTGCCAGCACCCGGTGCCACAAAGCCACCAAAAACAAGGCTTGGGGCACACACGTCCCAGCCCCACGCACGTCCCAGCACCGGTGTGGGGCAAAAAAAAAACAAGGAAGCACCCGGTCAGAGCCTCCCCGGCCGCCACCATGGCCGCCGTCCTCCCCGCACCGTTATTTTTTGGAAATATCACACGTTAAAGCTGTCGTTCTGGTTTGGACGTCTGCTAGCGCCGCACCGCCCGCCCCCTCCCTCCCTCGGCTTTTGGTTTCAATGCAAGGTTCTTTAGGGAATTTTTATTATTAAGAAAGAAAGAAAAAAAAAAAAAAACACAAAGGAAAACAGAAAATAAAATAAAATAAAACAGAAAGGAGTGGAAACGAGAGCAGACTCTGCGTAAATGCTCTCGGCTGCGTTTTCCCGGCGAGGCGGAGGTAGAGAGGCAGGGCCCCGGTGCGGGGGGGGACAGGGGGCACGCGGCAGGGAGGGGACGGACACCCAGGGCAGCAGGCAGCCCCGCAGCAGGAGCATCTGCAAAACCCTTATATATTACCTCTTCTCAGGAAACGTAAGAAAAATAGACAATATTACATATGTCACACCATAAATAAAGCCAACGCTCGCTCGAGGGGCACCCGGCCGAGCGCTCCCAGCGCGGGGTGCGCGGGACCCCCGCTCCCCGAGGGGACGCCCCGAGGTCTCGGGGTGCGCAGGGACCTGCAGCAGGGCTCGGTGCTGGTGGCACGGGGCAGGAAACGTCACCTCGGGGCGCACCGGGCCCTGCTGCGGCACGGCACGGCACGGCACGGCACGGCCCCACGTCAGCTCCTGCTGCAGGAGGGTGGCACGAGGGCACCGGCGATGCCATCCGAGCGGCCCCGAGCCCGTCCTCCTCCCGCCTCGCCTCCAGCAAACACACAGGATGGTTTTTGCAAATGCGGAAAAACTAAAGCTCCTATCGAGCACACGACTTCTTCTGGGTTCAGCCTAGCTCCTACACACACCACATCCTCCCGTGGTTTCTCGTCACCCTTTTATTTGGCAAAGTGTCTCTTATTATTATGATCACCGTCGGTATTATTATTATTTTTTGGACCTCTGCGGACGCTATTTACATTCACATTAACGTACAGCACTCCTGCCCGGCCACGCCGGGGCACGCTCTGGCTTCCTTCCCTCCTCCCGGAGCCGTGGGACTTTCCGTATTGCACTCCCGTCCTCTGCGCTTCGTACGGCGCTGCGCAAAGTTACAGCATCTCCTACATCGTCTTTGTCCGCCTCCTCTGCGAGGGAGGAGGTGGTGCCTTCTTGCCTTTTTATTTTTTTTATTTTTCTTGCCTCCTGGAAATCGTTGCAAAAAAAAATTAAAAATTATAATCCAACGCGGGGAGCGGATAAAAAGGACAAAAACCCCGGGGTGTCGGCGCACGGGGGCTGGGAGAGCAGCAGAATTCGTCCCTCGCGCTCCTCGTTCCTCTCCTCCGGCGGCGGGCAGAGGTAGGGAAACCCGGGGGCTCCTGCCCGTGCCCCCCATGCCACGTGGGGACCGCTCCTCTGTTTATTTCCAAAAAAAAAATTTTCTTTTTTTGCTTTATTTTAGGATAGAAACTCGTCCAACCCCCAGGCGCGCCGGGCTCCCCCCGGCCAGCGAGGACGGGAAGCGTCGGAGCAAGCGACAACAGAACGAAACGAACTTTGGCAGTGGAGAGACGTTTGGATCTTTCTCGTTTTTGGATTTCCTTTGGAGCAGAGGTGAGTCTGGTCTGTTCTTGGCTAGCTAGCAAGGTAGTTTACAGGTGAGCTTCTGGCACGCCGCTTGACTTGGCGGTGTCTTTTTTTTTTATTTTTCTTTTTTTTTTTTTCCTTTTTTTTTTTTTTTTTACAATATCTTACTTAAAGCCAAAGAGTCCGACGTTTTCATTTTTATTTTCTTTATTTTTTTTTTTACAAAAAAAAAAAAAAAAGAGAAAAAAAAAAAGAAAAAGAGAAAGAGAGACGAAGAAAAGAAGTTTCCTTCCTCCTGCGAGCGAGCTCCTGGGCAGCGCCGCATGGCGCGGCCAGCCTGCGGCAAACCCCTCATCCAGAAAGGAGGAGAAAAATAAAAATATAAAAATATATATATTAAAAAAAAAAACAAAAAACACCCGGTAGCAACGAACAGCAATCCCCCAAACGCTAGAAAACCAACCAAAAAAAAAAAAAAAAAAAAAAAGCCAAAACAAAAGACCGAAGAGAGAACAGAGAAGAACCGGCGTTTGCCTTAAACTCCACTTAAAGCCCGGTTTGAGGATCCGTGAGGATTATTTGTGAGAGATAGAGAGGTCGTTTTGGAGGTCACACGAGTCAGGTAGCTGAGGAAATTGCATCGAGTGCAGTCTGGTTCTTTTGGCGTGCCGCGGCGGGGGCGGCAGCGGGGTGGGGGGGGAGCGGCTCAGCGGGACGCGCTCTCCAACGGGGCCGGGGTGGCCGGCGTGCCAGCGCGGGATGCGGCCCCCGAGCCCGTCTCGCTGGGGCTGCTGGCCATGGGGGGCACCCCCTCGGGCTGCGCCGAGCCCCCCGGCAGTGTGGGGGCGGTGGCGGGGGCCGGCAGCCCCTGCAGAGTCTGCCCGCAGACGTGGTGGTGCTTCTCCCAATCTTTGTGCTGGCAGAAGGAGCCGCAGTAGCGGGCGGTGTTGCAGCCGCTGCAGGTCTCGCTCGCTTTGCGCCCGCAGTTCCAGCAGCTCTGCGGGGACAGTGGGGGACAACCTCAGTGCTGGGGCGTGCAGAGCCCCATTCCTGGGCTGCGTGCTGCGTCCCGGACCGGTAGCCACAGCCCTAACCACGTACCCAGGCTGCGCACCGCATCCCAAGCCACGTACCCCATCCCGGACCGTGCGCCACAGCCCTAAATATGTACCCAAACCCAGTCCCTGCACCACAGCCCAAACCACATGCTTATTCCTGGACTGTGCGACCCATCCTGGACCATGTGCCCCATCCCAGTCCATGCACCACGTCCCAAACCCCATACCCAAACCCTGTCCGTGCACCACATCCCAAACCACACACCCCATCCTGGACCGTGCACCACATCCCAAACCCCATACCCAAACCCTGTCCGTGCACCACATCCCAAACCACATAACCCATCCTGGACCATGCACCTCATCCCAGATTGTGTGTCACATCCTGGACCTTGTGCCACATCCCTGACTTCATATTTCTTATCCTGGACCATGCGTCCTCATCCCAGACCACGCACACCCCGTGCCAAACCACCCTCCCCATCCCATCCCCACTCGCTGCAGGAATTCCCACCCCACCAGCGGTGCCACAGCCACCCCGGTGCTGCTGAGCAGGTCCCCACCACCCACCCCGTCCACCCCCCACAGCCTCGTGCCCACCAGCCCCACCTCGCTCGAGTCCTCCTGCTGATTGATGACGGTCAGGGCGTCCTCCGAAGCCTGGCGCTTGGCCTCGGCCAGGGCTCGCTCCATCTTGGCTCGCTCCGTCGTGATCAGCTCGTGGGCTTTGCGCTCGGCGTCCGACACGGCCTTCTGCAGCTCGGACATGGCCTGACGCTTCACCTCGTTCACAGCTTCTTCTGGAAGGAAGGCGGGCGAGCGTGGCACGGGGCGTGCAGGGACCCTGGGGGGCTCCCAGCCCCCTCCGGCCCCGTGGGCACGGGGAGGGGACGCAGCGGGGATGCTGCCGGTTGGGTACGCTGGCGGGGCCACACTCACCAGCCTTCCTCCAGATCTCCTCGGGCATGTAACCGGAGAGGGGCCGCGGTGCGAAGTCCCGGTGAGCGTCTGCGAAGGATCCAGGGGGGAGATGACAACGCCGTTAGCAAAAGGCAACCCCCCCGTGACCCGACCCGCCGGCCGAGCCGGTCCCAGGGGAACGGCACGGGCACCCCGGAGAGGGGCCGGGGCCAGGCTGCAGCCCCCCCGGGTCAATACCTAACTGGGGTGCCTCGGAGCTGGAGGAGCTGTTGTGGGGGCGGGCGGAGGGGGGGCTGCCTTTCTTCATGTCCTCGGCGTCGCTGTAGCGCCGGATCCAGTGGTTGAGCTCCTCGCGGTCGGCCTCCTGGCACCGCCGCAGCACCGTCAGCGACCGGCGCGTCTTCTCCACCATGTCCATGATGCAGTTCAGCAGCTGTTGGGGGGGGGCAACGGAGGGGCTGGGGGGAAATCTGGGCCGTGCAGGGTGGTGCTGGGGGCCGTGGGAGCGAAGGATGCTCGGGAGGAAAACCACAGGGGGACACGGTGGAAGCGGGGAGCAAAGCGGGGTGGGCACAGCACGGCTGCCCCGTGCATGCAGCAATTTGGGGGGGCAGGCTGGGGGCTCTACGTACGTTGTTGAGGTGCTTCCACTCCTCCGCCCACTCCCTGTCGGTGAGCCGGTGGTCGATCACCTCCTCCTGGCGCGCCCCGTGCACCGCTGCAAGATGAGCGCAGGATGAGGGGGGGTCACCCCGGCATCGCCCCCAACCCCACGCCGTGTCCCCCACCTCCCCAAACCAGGGGGCTCGGGGGGGTGCTGAGCTCACCGGCGGGCCGCGGGCGCTCGCGGAGCTCCCGGGGGTCGGCGTGGCGGTAGGCGTCGCGGTAGTGGTGCGCCATGGCCATGTCCTCGAGGCGGTAGTGCTGGGGCAGGGGGGCGGCGGGGGGGGGCAGCCCGTTGGGCGCGTGGCTCAGCCCGTTGCTGGGGCTGTAGCGCTGCGCGGGGCTCATGGTGCACGGCCGCTTGCTGAGGTGCTCGGGGTGCAGGGGGTCGCGGTCCAAACCGTTCTCTTTGGTCCTGGGGAGGGGGTGCAGAGGAGGTCGGTCCCCACGGGGTCCCCGAGCATCCGTGCGCAGCTCCGCGCCCGGGTGGTGCACCCCAAAAAGTGGCGCCCCGTGCGCCCTCACCTGTCTGGTGTCCTCCTCTTGCCGCTCTCGCTGACCTCCAGGAGCAGCTCGGAGGAGTCGATGGGAGAGGAGGCGTTGGCATCCAGCAGCAGCTGCTCGTGCTGCGCCAGGTACTGCGCCGGGCTCTGCTTAGCCATGCGGGCGCAGTGCAGCAGCTCGCGCTGCAGCAGCGGCAGGTTGGCCTGCGAGGGGAGCGGGAGTCCAGAGCCCACCACGGCACAGCCACGCTCCCCAAAAATCAGCCACCCCAGCCACCCTTGATCTCCCCATCCCTCCAGTTCTCACTTTGGGGACCTGAGCCTCCAGCTCTGGGGAGCCCTTTGGGGTGCGCGCTCGGCACCGGGGACACCCCCAACCCTCCTGGCACCCACGGGGCACCAGGGTGCCGTGAGCTGCCCCCGCACCCGTGCGCTCCCCCCTCCAGTGCTGTCCCTGAAGCAGCAGAAACACATTTCTGCCCGGGCCCTGCTGCTGCCAGCTCCGCTTTTCTCTTTAGGCAGCTGATCGGCAGCCAAGGCCCCATCTGTTGGACGCGTTAGCGCTCGGGGAGGAGAGGCGCGCTGCAGCTCCCGCCCCTTCCCCGGCTGAGGGAACGACCCCGAAAACCAAAAAAGCCCCTGAGTCTGGGAAGCACGCCGCGCCCGGCTGCTTGCATTTAGGGTAATGAGAAGCAGCTGGAGCCCAAGGTGGAAGCAGCTGGAGCAGGGTGCCGGGGCGGCCGGCGGCACGGGGAGTGCTGCTGGCCTCGGGGACACCGCCTGGAGAGGGGATGGGGGGCTCCGTGTCCCCCCTGTTCTGCCCTGCTCGGCTCTGCCTTCCTTGCGGGGTGGCTTCCTGCTGCAAGGGCTGCAAAGGTGGCTGGGGGCACATTTTTTTTTTTACTCCTCTGCTAACGAGGGGTGAGCGATGCCAGGCTCAAACATCTGCCACCCGTGCCCGTGGTGCCAGGAGTGCCAGCGGCTGGCGAATCCCTCCGGAGCAGGGTGGCAGTGCAGAGTCAGCACGAAATCAGAAGGAAAATTAAAGGAAAAAAAAAAAAAGGGGGGGGATTTTTAATGAATTGCAAATGGTTTCCAGATGGGCCTAACCCTGCGCGTTATTGCAAACAGCTCCACGAGCGCCTCGGCCTGACGGGACTGCCCGTGGGGGGGGGGATTTATGCACCCGGGGGCCGTGCAGGGCACCCACCTTCAGGAAGGGGATGACGAAGGGCCGCAGCGGGAAGTTGGTGGCCTCCTGGAGCTTGGCGTGGAACTCCTCGATGGTGAGCGTGGAGTTCTGCGGGGACAGCCCGGGCTCAGCGCCGGCCGCTCGCAGCCCCCAGCCCACCCTGTGCCCCCTGGTGCTGCTCCCTTGCTCTGCTCCCCGCCGGCTCTGCCGTGCTCAAGGGAAAACCCCGCAGGGTTTGCTGGTGGTGCCAGCAGTGGGGACCCAGCCCCACACCACTGGTGGCATCCACTCCATCCATCTCCCACCCTGGGAACCATGCAGACCCTGTGGGATGCCCCCATTTTTCCAAAATTTAAGTCAACTCAGCGCCAAGAGGCTCCTCTTCCCCATTTAGCATCATCCCCATCCCCAAATTAAAAACCAGGAGCCCCGCTCGGTGACACGGCTGGAGCATCACCCGCCAGCCCCAGGGGCTCCCCAAAACTGTTCCCAGTGCCCGGCGAACGTACCACGAGCCCCAGGACGAGGGTGCGCACCCGCTCCCCGATCTCGGGCGAGATGTCATTGCCGAACTGCTGCAGGGTGGTGAGGAAGCGCTTGAGCTTGCTGAGCTGGCGGGCGCCGCAGGCTGGGGGGAGCTGGTGGGTGGAGAGGGAGGCGGTGGAGGAGGTGGCCGGCCCGTTGCTGAAGCCGTTTGGGGTGGACGGGGCCCCGTTGATGGCGGTGGGCGAGTGGCTGCTGCCGTTCATCACTGCGAGCGGAGAGGAGGGGAGGTGAGAACGGCGGTGAGGGGACGGCGCTGGGCTGGGGGGACCCGAGCATCCCGCTGGGCACCGAGAAACCAGTGTCCTCCCACAGCCTGGGGTGCTTGGGGACGCTGCTGCGCCCCTGGGGCAGCGCGCGGCAGACGCAGGGGTGGTGGATGGGTTATGGTGAGGGCCTGACCCTGCTCCTTGCCATCCCGGCAGCCAAGAGCTGCCAGAAGCTGTGCGCTCCCCACGCTGCCCATCCAGGAGCCTTCAGGTGGCTGCTGCCCACAGCACCCTGCCCCAGGGGGTGGGCAGGACCCCGGCGCACAACAGGGCGCACCCCGTTCCCGTGCCAGCCCTCGGCGCAGCGACCTCTCCGTGGGCAGCACGGGTGACAGCCCCCTGCAGCCCGTCCCCCCTGTGCACAACGGCCTCGCACCCCTCCGCCAGCACCCGGGCATGCACCGTGCTGCTCCCACCATCGCCCTGACCTGGTGGTACTGGTGCTGCGGGGTGCTGCAGCCCTGCCTGCCCTGGCTGCTTCCACGGGCTCCCCCTCGCTCTCCGGCCGGCCGGTCCCAGCCGCCCGCTAAAGAGGTGCTGAAAATAACCCCCGGCCACAACTGCTTTTATTCCCACGACAGGTGGGGACTAAGTTAGACGCCGCACGTGTCCCTCGGCCGGGCCGGGGACGGGGTTTGCATCCTTGGGACGGGGCAAGGAGAGGGGCTGGGGGGGCAGAGCCCTGCCAGGGGCACCGGCCGGGGGGGGCTCGGGCTGCGTCTCGGGTCTCTCATTAGAGCGTACGTTTCATTTTACTTACAAAGACAGACCATCGACCATTTCAAGCAACCATGAAAACGGCCGCGAGGCAGAAACGTCGGAGGGCCAGCGTCTCGATCTGCAAGCAAAATAAAACACGCTATGATGAGAGAGCAGAGGCGGCAGCTCTCGGCCGGGGGTCCCGTTGGGCACGGCCCGCTCGTCCTGCAGGCGAAGCTGCGTGGAGCCCGACGTGCCGGGGATGGAACCGGGTCCATCGACCCCACGCAGCCCACGGAAAGGCTCCGAGGATGCCCCCCTCCTCATACAGTCCCTGCCCAGAGGCAGCTTGTGGAAATTCCTCGAGACCAAGAACAACCAAAACTCCGTCCCGAGCCCTGGTGGGGCTGGCAGCCGGCTGCCCACGCGGTGCCCACACCAGCAGGATGGGGACGCCTGCACCAGCCCCGCACACGGATCCCAGAGCCCTGCACCCGCTGCAGGGCTGGGATTAAAAAGCAAAACCCATCAGAGCGCAGAGAGCACAATCCGATTTCTAATTAGAGAACATCTGCTTGGGAGCGCAGCAGGGCCGCGGCAGCCAGCGTGCAGAGACCTGCAGTCCCTATAGAGCACCTCGATGCCACCACTCTGTCACCTGGGCACAGCCAGCAGGTCCCCACCACCACAGCCAGCCGTGACACTGCCCCGCACCGCCCGGTGCCACACACACCCACGTGGCCGTGCCCAGCTCCGAGCCCTGCAGCCTCCTCCAGCTGCTCCGTGCTCCCATTTGGTGACCACGCATCAGGAAACCAGGGCGTCCCTGTCCCCAGGCACCTCACTGGGGACAGGCAGAGCCCACACGCATCCCAAATCCCTTCTCCAGCACACAATCAAGGATCACCACCCCACGGCACGGCCAGCACCACGCAGCGCAACGAGGTCGCGACGGATCCCAAAGGCAGCGCGTGGCCGAGGGAGCCGGGCAGCCCCCCTGCCCGCCGTCCCCTCCCCGTCCCCATACTCACTGGTGCTGGGCGTGAAGGAGGGGTGGCGCGTGGCTCCCTGCGTGACGGCCGGTGGCGGTGGCGGCATGCTGGGCGGCGTGGACCTGGGCTGCGTCTTGACGTCGGCCGGCGAGTCGGGCATGGTGGCGGCCCGCTTTGCCGCGGGATCTGCGGGGACAGGGCGCGCGCGGTGAGCGGGGCAGTGCCGCCGGGGACAGCCCCTGCCAGGCGGGTCAGGGCCTCGGGGACCTCAGGTGTCACCGGTCCCCAGGTGGAGTGGGAGCGCAGGGACAAGCGGGGACGGTGCCCGGTGCCCTGTGTCCCTGTGGGGTGGTGGGGATGGTGCCCTGCATCCTTCATGGATGTGTGGCACTGGAGAAGGGATGGGGCACGGCTCTGCAGGCACTGCCCTGTGCCACATGAGCTCCACACCTTGCGCACAGCACAGCCCGGGCACATTATCACAGCATTATCACAGCTGCCATCCCTGCAAAGCCACCCGCCTGCCAGCAGCGACCTCGGGGATTCCCGTGCCCAGGCTGCCCGCTAGCACCTCGCCAGCCCCAGGGCGATTGCGGGCATCGTGGTGCCGGGCAGGGATTGCGCACGGGCAGCAAATCCTGGGTGCACGATGGCTGGCACACGATGCTGCTCCCTGTGCCACCCACAGCCCAGAGGATGCCGTGCCATGCTGTGCCATGCCGTGCCAAGTGGCCACGAGCACGCCAGCTGCACAGGTCTGTCACCATCCTGGCCAGGGTCCCCTCTGCACGCAGCGGGCTCGCCACCGGGCACGGCTGCTACCCACACATCTAACGTGCACGCCTAATCCGCTGCAACTGTCGGGAGATTAATCGAGCCCGGCGAGAGCACATGGTCCGGGCTAAATAAAACCGGGGCCTCGTCCCGAGCAAGATGCTAGCAGGGCTCGTCCTGCAGCTGATGCCACGTGGGGAGGAGTGGGGAGCCAGGAGGGCTGGAGGTCACCACCGCGGTCCCACGGCACCCCTGGCACCAAGTGAGTGTCCTTGGCTGGTGTGCAGGGCCATCCTGGCACTGCGTGCTGGGGTTTGCCTTTCTGCGCCCCCTTCTCCCTCTCCAGCCACAGGAGAAACCCCAAGGCTAAACAGCACCTCTGCCACGGAGCAGCAGTTTGTTCGCGGGCTCTGCCAAAATAAACGGGATGCTTTGAAAAACACCTCTGCTTTTCCTCGCCACGGGGTTTGGGAACGGCTCCTCCAGGCAGGACAGAAGGGACTTGTTGGAAGATGCTGGGGGTTTGGGAGCGATGCCGGGAGGTGCCTGGCTCGCACCCTGACCTGCAGCCTCCCTCCCACCTCCTGGGCCCGTTGTGTAGCTCTGCAGCTTTACGCCAGGTGTAACAGCCCCGGGGACAGCCCTGGCACGGGGGAGGCACGAGAGGTGGTGGGTCCAGTGCTTCGGACTGGAACCAGCTCTGGCTGCCTGCACGGAGATGTGTCCGCAGGCTCACGAGGCTCCAGCACCAGAAGGGACACAGAGCACGGGTTTTGTGCCACCCAGCAGAGCAGGATCCAGCCCCGAGGACAAAAAGGGCGACAAGGAGAGGTCAGCCTGCAGCCCACATCCCACGGGTGCCCTCATGATGCTGCCAAGCCCAGCCCCTGCTGAGTGTCCCCAGGACGCATGGAGACGGGGGGGGGAGCCCTGGCACAGCCGGGGGGCTGCCATCCACGTGGCCCCCACGAGCCCACCACGAGGTGGGTGTGAGCGCAGCCAGTCCCTTCATCCACAGAGCGTGCAACAGGGCACAGCCAAACCCTCCTTGGCTCAGCACCCCCTGCCCCTTGGCAAAGCACGGATCCGGGCATCTTTCCCCTCGGCCAGCGTCCCCCCAAGCAGGGGCACGGCACGGAGGCCACGGGGCTCGTCCAGCTGGAGGAGAAGGTGGAGAGGTGGCACCCTGGGGACCCTGTGCCACAGCACCTGTCCCACGCTCCCTGCACGGATCCGGCTCCAAGGGGCTGCAGCAGAGGGGCCTGGCTCTGCCTGGGCTTGGGGGAAAAAGCACAAATCCACTCATCCTGGCGCCGGCACGGCTGCTCCGCAGCTTCCCATCAGGAGGAAAGTCTCCACGAAGCTGAACAAACACCAGGGGAAACTGCGTCTGGGTGTGTTATTTCTCTCTCTCTCTCTCTCTTTTTTTTTTTTTCCTCCTCCATCTCTTGAAGCCATAAGTTTTTCCTGCTGCGTTTGCAATCCAAACACCGCCGCGCGGGCACAGGAGCAGGAGGCAGCCCCCGAAGTGCCGGATTTCTCGGTGCTGAAGCCCAGAAAAGCCCAAAGCAAACAGAGCCAGGCTGCTGGGACACCCGTGCGCCCCGGTGGCACCGTCCCCGCGGCGTCACACGTGCCAGCAGCAGGGCGCTGCCCCTCGCTTCGCCAAACCACCCTGGAAGCCCCAGCTTTTGCCTCCAGCCCCACAAAGCTCCTGTGAGGCTCTGAAGCACCGGTGACAGCAGCCTGGCCGTGTCCTGCTGTCCTGCCACGTGTCCCTCCGTCCGTCCTGCCCTCCCCGTCGGCGGCAGGCGGTCGCCAAGCCCGTGCCCAGGCTCTGCCCCCCGGCAGCGCCTCCAAGCGTGGCACCAATTCCCCGGCACTGCTCAAACTCCACTGGAATCCTTTTTTTTTTTTTTTTTTTCCTTTTTTTTTTTTTCTTTTTCTTTTTCTTTGGGGTAATTTGTCCCAGCCGCTCGGGGCTGTGTCTGTTTTCCTACATCTGGTTTCCATTAGGCCTGTGCAGCCCAGATGAATAAGTAATAATATAAAAATAAAAGGATTAGTATTTTCTCCTCCGCTGGCCGGAGCGGGGCCGTACCCCGCCCTGCCTCCCGGTGGGAATCAGATGCCGAACCCCACGCACCCCCCGACCCCGATTTGTCACACCGGAGGCCTTAACCCCCCACGTGCTGGCTGGGGACGGTGCCCACTGGTGCCACACGGCCACAACCGTGCCCACTGCCACCCCTGCGGGTGCCAAAGCAGGGCACCACGTGCGCCAGCCAGCTTCCCAAGCCTGGGGGTGCAAATCCCCCTGCCGTGCCCCCTGCTCTCTGCACCCCTTTAGCCAGGCCTTGGGGTGGCTGGGGACAAGGACAGGGACATGCCAGTCCCTGTGTGGCTGCGTGGCACCCAAAGGCAGTGCCCACTCTGCTCCCGTGGGCACGGAGCCATCCCGGTGCAGCAGCGGCTGTCGGAAAGCTCCGGCTGCTTGCGAGCCTCCCGGCGAGGCTTTGCCATCGAGGAAGGGGTTAAAAGGGAATTAAAAGAACAGCATCCTTCATGCTCTCCAAATGGCCACAAATGAAATCCAGATGCTGGAGGCGACGTCTCCCCGAAGCCAGGCTGCCTCCCAAACAAAGGAAAGCATTCCTGCTGCTCAGCTGCTGGTGCCACGGGGGCCAAGAACAACTCCCCGATAAGATCGCGAGGGCTGGAGCCTCTCCATCTGGAGCGCGTTAGGGCAGCGCTCCGCGCCGGCAGCCGGGCGGCCGCGCTCCCACGTGTGCGAGCCGGGCACGGGTGGGGGGGAACCGCAGGGCGCCGGCGCCCCCGAGCTCCGTGCAGCACCCCAGGGTGGGCGCACGCGGCGCCAGCCACCCCGGTGCCTTCCTGGGGGTGTTATGGGGGATGCCCATGCCCCAAATCCCAGCATGGGCACCCCAAGGAGCAGCCGGAGCCATGCGCCCGAGGCCATGGCGCACGGGACAAACCCTCCCCAGCACCCTGCTGTCAGCTCCTGGGGACAGCCCCAGCGTGGGGACAGGTCCCCCACCCCCGGGACATGGTGACGATGGCAGGCAGCTGGTGGGGGAGGACGTGGCTCCCCCCAAATTGTGCATGAAGGGGAGGGAAGCGGGATGGTGGTGTGCCAGAAGGGTGCTGCGCACCTCCAGGCCTATCACACAGCCACGGCCGGGGTGTCCCACGTCCCCAGGGGGCTTTGGAAAGAGGTGAGGGGGTGGAGAAGGAGCAGCAGCTGGGGCTGGAGCCGAGGGGCGAAGGAGAAAATGGGGACACCCCACACGGCTCCCACCACCCCACACAGGTGGCACCGGTGTCTCCTCCTCGCTCTGACAACTTTGTGAGGTTTCCCTGAAGCAGCACATTTTGGGGAGCCGGGCTGCAGGGTGCGGGAGGAGTTGGGGTGGGGGGGCGAAGCGACGCAAGCCCCAGCACCAGTCAGCACAAATGAAGCCTTTTAAAAGGAAATCAAATTAATTAAAGCCTCTGCAGAAGATGTAAACGAAACCTGGCCTCTGGCAGCTCCAGGCCCTGCAAACGGGGAGCTGTGGCTGCAGAGCCACCGCCGCCAGGAAGCCGGGCAGCACCCGGCACTGCGGGCACCCCACGGTGCTCGGGCATCCCCTGCTCTCAAGATGCTCACACCACGGGCAGCACACTCCCTGCTCCCCCAAAATCCACGCCATGCACCACGCCATGCAGCCGGTGAATTTGGGGATCCCTCGCCCATGGGTGCCCTGAGCCATGCCCCAACCTGGGACACTTCCAGCCACCCCACACGGGGAGCACGGTGGGTTTCCCTTTGCCACATCCCAATTTCCTTCCCTCTCCCTGCAGCCCCTGGCTGGGTGGGCACCGCAGAGGTGCCCGCGCTCCCCGGGGAATCAGGGACCCCAGAGCCCTGCCCGCTGCCCTGAGCAGCACCCCCGAGGACCTGCAGCCCCCCCAGGGCCACAGCCATCAGCTGCCGGTCAGCTGGAGCCAGGGTGGAGGGAGAGGGAGGGAGAGGGAGGTTATTCTGATTTTCCTCAAAAAAAAAAAAAAAAAAGGGAAAAAAAAAAAGCCCTCTCTGTTTTACAAGCCTTCATTTGCTATTGTTTATGTAAACAGGTAAATTGTTTCGTATCTCAATTAAAAACATCTGCCACATAAATGAATACCAATTAACTCATCCTGTTTTTAATTACTCTGTTAATTACACACAGGCAGCAAAAAGGATGGCAGGGGAATAGGGAAAGCATGCTTACAGCCCCCCCCCCCCCCCTTCCCACCTTGCTCTTGGCAAGGATCCGAAATATGCCCAGATAATGATGGATTAAGGTGGCTGGTGAAAACAATGGCTCGTCGCCAGCTCCGGGGATTTCGGCTCCCTCCCCGCCCCCGGC